GGGGGGCAGATATTCATATATTCATGTTCACAGACTGTAAAAACAATCGCTTTCAAAGGAAACTATGAAATGTGCACAACATGAATATATGAATATCTCCCCCCCCCCCAAATATCGACTTTCCGGCGTCCCTGTTTAAGTGGTTTTAGACTTGTAACTGGTATAAATTACAGAAATCCTTGCAATTTCCTTGTATTTTTCCTTGCCATTTCCTTGTAAATTTCATTTCCTTGCAAATTCCTTGCTGCAAGGAAAAATCCTTCCAAGTGGAAGCACTGCCTGAGTGATTGTTCGTTTTTCGTATATCCCGCACCACGCGTGACAAACACGCACCATCACGTGTTTTGATCATTTTGATCGAAAGAAGAAATATATATATGTATATTGGAGATTTTTGTTGATTTTTATCGAAATTTCTGTTGCTTTTCTTGCAAGACAGCCTTCGATCTTAACAAGAGACGCCAAGGAAGATCTAAAATCGTTCAAGTAATGTACTTTTGTTTTAATTTATGAAATATTTTGCCGAAGAGCCGAGCTGCTCAAAATTCAGAAAGAATGCAAGGCATACAAACGTGGTCGAAATCTATAAATGTTTTCTTGTGAATAGCTGTATTTCGTGGATAAATATGTTTCAGATAAAATCTTCACTCTATTATGCTGTTCTGTAAGTTTTTTTTTAGTAAAACAGGCGCTTTTTTGCTCAGGTTTTAAGCTTTTATACGTTGTTTCCATGAGATTGACTTCATATTTTTATTTAATAGTCTAGGACCTGTATAGATGTTTGTATGCGTTTCATTTAGCACAGGTAATCTCAACTGTTTTAGGGTAAAATGACCATGGCGGTCAACATGGCATATGTGCCAAAACCTGAATCCGGGGCGGAAGTCCTGAAAATGACCTGGCCCTGAAACGGCAGTGCCGACATAGCTCCAACTTCCGAAAACGAAAAGCAATAGCCGTTCTGAAGTGCTTATGGTGTTTAATAGAAGGGTTGCTTTTAGGGGTGGTCATTGGAAGGAAAAATTTGTCTAAGTATAATATTTTACAAGAAAATGACCATGCACCACCCCAGGTAAATTGCTAATTATACATAAAATAACTAATATGCCTGGCACAGTGGCAGAAATTAAATGTTCTTATTTCCTAAACAAAATTATCATGGGATGAAAAACTATGCTTAATTTAATATAATTATTGTAGTTTTCATAAGGATTGTCATTGTTTTCTTTAAATATAATACATTTTATTTCACTCACCCCCCACGAAAACACGATTTCAGCCATATTTTGCCGTCTTGTTTGCTTTTTATCGCCGAGTCTCGCCAATATCACCCAGTTGTTGTACTTTTACATAATGATCAGTGGCTAAAGAAGATTTCAACCAAGTTTCATCAAGTTTTGAAGCAGTGCAATGTATTTTATCTTCGATATTGTGTCCTTCGATATTTCGTCAAATTGCCGCCATTTTAATGGCTCGCCGCTTGTCTGCCCGATAAATGCCACTTCTTCATTTTCATATGTATTTAGATTACAGTATCCAAGAGTACTTCATTGTAGAATAGTCCCAATCGAAAAATTGACAACATTACTCCCATTTGGAAGGAAAAACCCGCCCGTAAACCATTTATGTTCAAAATAAAAAACAAATCATTTGAAAGTCACGCGCAATCTGGACTTCTCATGGACACATGACAGGGGGTGAATATTTTCACGAAACATTTGTTCGCCACCACAGCAACCTAACTAAATATATTGTATTTTTATGATTTATGATAAAACTACCCAAATATTTATTGTTTTTATCATAATTCATAAAAATACAATAAATACAATATATTTAGTTAGGTTGCTGTGGTGGCGAACAAATGTTTCGTGAAAATATTTACCCCCCCTCCCCCCCTGTCATGTGTCCACGAGAAGTTTTCGCGAAGATTGCGCGTGACTTTCAAATGATTTGTTTTTTATTTTGAACGTAAATGGTTTACGGGAGGGTTTTTCCTTCCAAATGGGAGTAATGTTGTCAATTGTTCGATTGGGACTATTCTACAATGAAGCAATGAAGAAGTGGCATTTATCGGGCAGACAAGCAGCGAGCCATTAAAATGGCGTCAATTTGACGAAATATCAAAGGACACAATATCGAAGATAAAATACACTGCACTGCTTCAAAACTTGATGAAACTTGGTTGAAATCTAATTTAGCCATTGATCATTATGTAAAAGTACGACAACTGGATGATATTTGTGAGACTCGGCGATAAAAAGCAAACAAGACGGCAAAATATGGCTGAAATCGTGTTTTCGTGGGGGGTGAGTGAAATAAAACTACAATAATTATATTAAATTAAGCATAATTTTTCATCCCATGATAATTTTTTTAGGAAATAAGAACATTTAATTTCTGCCAGGCATATTAGTTATTTAATGCATAATTAGCAATTTACCTGGGGTGGTGCATGGTCATTTTCTTGTAAAATATTATACTTAGACAAATTTTTCCTTCCAATGACCACACCATAAGCACTTCAGAACGGCTGTTGCTTTTCGTTTTCGGAAGTTAGAGCTATGTCGGCACTGCCGTTTCAGGGCGGGGTCATTTTCAGGACTTTTGCCCCGGATTCAGGTTTTGGCACATATGCCATGTTGACCGCCATGGTCATTTTACCCTAAAACAGTTGAGATTACCTGTGCTAAATGAAACGCATACAAACATCTATACAGGTCCTAGACTATATTAAAAAGTGTACATTTACACACCCAAAATCGTGAAAAATTTTGCACGCTCAACGGTTCATTGCAAATTGTTATAGTAAATTTTAGACATAGAATCGCAACAAAAAGCCAGCGAAGCTAACTTGTCTATTTTTGCGCCCTTTTGTAGCTGCTCCCTTGCAAGCGCTTGGATAGTGCTAGAAAGAATATTGCCTTTGATATCGACGCTATAAGTGTGTGCACTAACCAACAAGCGCATCGCCGCAGATTGCTGTATAAGCTCAAGTATAGTGCGCTGACACAAAGAGTGCATTTCAAGCAAATCAGTTGCACGCAAGTTGACAGACGACGCAAAAAGCCGCACGCAGCAGCAAGCGCAAGAAATAGTTCATGTACAAAATGTCAATGGAAGGAGAAAACCCTAGCATTAAAGACGAGCAAAGTGGCGAGCAAATCTGCCGAGATTTCCAGCGAGGCGTCTGCAGCCGCGGGGATAAATGCAAGTTTGCCCATCCGTCCGGAATGGGAAGCGAGCCCAAAGATCAGCCAATGATATGCCGTGATTTCCAAAACGGCACGTGCAATCGAAGCACGTGCAAATACCTCCACGTGACAAACCAGGAAGAGAAAGATTACTTACGGACCGGACAGCTTCCGGGTAACTCCCGTGGGGGGCGGGGGCGGGATTCTAACGCCCAGGTCTGTAAAGATTTCCTTAACAACAAATGTAACCGTGGGGCGAGCTGCAAGTTTCGTCACGTTCCCGAGGAAGGTATGTATGGCGGTGGAGGCGGGTACTACGATGAACCCCCGCGGAAACGACCTCGGGACAGCATGGGTGACGACTACCGGTACCTCATGGAAGAAAATGTCTCGCTGAGAAGAAAAGTGTCAGAGCTACAAAAGGACGTGGCAGATCTTCGTGCCACAAATGATATTCTCTTGGAGCAGAATGCTCGGCACAGGCGGTCAGGCGGTAGCAGTTCTGCATCGTACGGTGGGGGCTATGCAAACGACGCCTACGGGAATGCTGCATCCAGCGTAAGTTACCCGTCCAGGGATTCCTACACGGCCACTGGGGCCTACAACTCCTACGCCACTCCCAAGCAGGCTGGAACGACCGGCTATGATGGTTATACTGAGTTCAAGTGAGAACACTTCGTGGACTTTTTAAATCAGGTTTTAATGTTATCTTTTCATTACATATTGGCAGTATGCATAAAAAACAGACTTATTAATAACTTTCAGCCTACTTTCTATAGTTATTCGTAAATGCATGAAAATGTTTTCACAATTTGAGAAGAAATGTACAGTAGTAAAACAAAATGCTAAAGAGTGTTTTTGATGTTACTCTGAGTGTATATCCACACCAGGCAGGCTGAAAAGTTAGCCTGACCACGGTGGGAATCGAATCTGCGATCTTTGGGATACTAGTAAAACACACAAAAAGTATCAAGATCATAGAACACATTAGTATTGAAGGTACTAGACTTAGTTCCGATTTACTTCCGAAATACCACACACTCGAACAGACTTGGCCTCATGGCTCAGTTGACAGAGCATTGAGGTTGCAGGTTCGATTCCCACCGTGGTGAGGCTAACTTTTCAGCCTGCCTGGTGTGGATATATACTCAGAGTAACATCAAAAACGTCATAGATAGAGCAGATATGTAGTTTTTTTTACCTCAAAAAGTTGCCACAACACGGCCTGTTTCATCCAAGAGGAATCATCGGGAGTCACCTGAAGTTTGGATAAACAGGCCGTGTTGTGGCAACCTTTTGAGGTATATATATATATATATATATAACAGTATATGATTACATTTCTTCTCAAAATGACCCAAATAATTCATTTACAAAAATCACGATTATTTGTGTGGTTAAAACGTTATAAACTCAGCTTCATAATGTTATGAGGTGCATGTAGACAAGTTGTCTTTCATCTCTTTTTAATTTTTTACGAATTAAAGTTTTGTGTGTTCATATTGTAATAAATATTTGATTGAATTTATGTATTCCGCTTTTGACTATAATTCAATTTAAATCAAGTCTCGAAACTATTTCGAGTTTTTGAATAGTGCGAATATTATACTGAGAGAGCTATCCAGTATAAATAAAGTTCATTTCTGTTTCCTCCAATAGTAACACTGGATCAATAAGAGATTATCCTTACTGGGCCTCTAGGGCGAACAGTTTAGAACTGTAATAAGTTCTTTGTATGTTTGCATGGCGATAAAACATATTATATAATTATTACTGCAAAGCTTTCGATCCGTAAGCCCGGATCTTCATCAGTGCTAATAATATGTATTATGTATTATCCACATATTATTAGCACTGATGAAGATCCGGGCTTACGGATCGAAAGCTTTGCAGTAATAAATGTACGTGGTGTTTCCACAAACAAAACTATTATAAGTTTAGAACTGATAGAGCTATCCAGTATAAATAAAGTTAATTTCGGTTTCCTCCTGTATTAACACTGGATCAAAAATAATTATTGATAACATAATAATTATTAATAGAAATATATTACATTGATAATTGATAATTAATCATGATAATTATTAATTAATAATAATTAATAATATTAATAATCCCATTTCGCGCATGTGTTGAAGAAGGATGTTCTGCTTCTCTGTGCATAGCCAATGAGAAAAAAACTTGAAATCATTTCCATTTAAGGTGGTCCTAAGTTGAAAACAGTGTAGTTGTGACGTAATTATCGAAAGGGTGTATTGTTTTAAGTACATTTCTTATTATAACATACGTGATATATACCCGACAATATATATGTTGTTTCCTATTGTACTTCCCGCTTTTTGGTATATGCATGCTGTGGGCAGCCCCCGTAAATCCCAACGGTTTTAGGAGGCCTGGTTGCCCAGGCATTCGTGGTAGTAATCGTAGGTCTTTGTAAGTTCAATATGAAATGGGTTTTCATTTCCATTGTTAAAATATGGTCCAAAACTTGTACATCTCGCCGACGTGTCTCCGTATTTTCGAAGAGCGGCATCTGTTCTACATTTTTTTGGAGAATAAAGCGTTTTGAGTGTGAGAATTTTCGATTCGAAATGCCGTGCAGACGGATCGACGATTGTGGATAGTTTGCCTTTATCATGTAGTATGTATACTAGTACCATCGAGTGCAAAGTCTTGGAAAATATTAGTCCAACAAAAGAGGAATAAAAGGAGAACACACACTATCAAATAGGCAAGTCAATTTCATTTTAAAATTTATATTTTATGACATATTTTTACTATAATATACATTACTATAAGTCTATACTGACCCATGCGAGATTGGGCCGCCTGTGATTCAACCAAAGAATGGACGACCAAGACGTAGCTATATTAATATCACCATTGCTCTCGAAAACAGAGTCTTTTATGTTGACAAAAATATTACCCTTTCTTGTTCTGTTGCTTTTGACAACGATACATCCCACGTTTTGCTGAAACAAGACATTGACATTGTCAAGGATCAATTCGAGCCAGCTGTTCCTGGTAAAATCCCCAAAAAGTAAAAGGTTAATAGCTAAAATTTTGGATTATTTTAGAAAGTCTTTTTGGTTTCTGAAAGACAAGGCAAAAAGTAAATGGTAAGCATTTCAGGTTTTCGTAAGAGTACAGTTAGGATTTCTGGAAAATAGGGAAATGATCGGCAAAAAGGTAAGGGGATAAATCCTTAATAGTTCGTTTTTGACACTTAAATTTTTCAAAAAGTGACAAAAAATGGATTGAGTACCACTTTCACCATTTTTGGCCACTCTTTGAATAAAATAAATAAAATAAAATTTGATGAGAGATTATGTAGAAATTAGTATAGTTACCACCACTGAATAGATCTACTAGTCGAGTGGTAGGCTCCTTGTGTTGCATGAGGGAGAGCTACGGATCGGTCCCTCTTGTATACATGTATCAAAACCATTTTAATATATTATCAAAACCATTTTAATATCACGCATCGTTAATTAATTCCACCCAAGACAACAAAGAGCTAAGAACTTAAAGACAAAGTGTTGAAGCCAGAATCGATTCCTTGGTTGTAGTGGGGGGGGGAGGGACAGTAAGCGCCTCTTACTTAACGGCCCAAATTTCCAGAGATTAAACATGAAAAACACAAGCCTGATTTAAGTAAAATTCACCACCACCAGGACAGGAGATATAATAAGTTGAATAAGTCATGAAAAGATGAATAAGTTGCAATAATCTAGCCACGACGAGCAAGTGGTCTAGTGGAAAAGACCTTATCTACCACTGTGCTAGTCCTGCAGAAGTCATTTTGTGATTCGAATAAACAACGAGCATGTGGTCTAGTGGTAAAGACTACAGGTTGTGTAATGTGCCATCGTGGTTCAAGTTTTAGAGAAGTCGTTTTGCAACTTTGAAATATGTCGGGTCAGAGACAAAAAGTACAGGTGAAAAACCAACAGTCAAGATAGTGTACTGGATTCAACACAGTGTCGTATGTTTGGAAACTGTGGATCGATCCCTGCTGAACTCAACATTTCTTTCGCTGTTACACTAACAAATTGTCTCGCAATGTTAAGGAAGACGATTTCAGCATTGCATTGCAAGGGATGTTACACCAAGTAATATGTCCCATGCAACCTGCAATGATCATAGTATAAAAACCGCGAGTGTTAACCTTTAGCGCCAGATTGACTGTCAAAAGCCAATAGGAAACCGTTCAATGTACAGTATAAACATTGCGAGACTAATTGCAAGAGGGATGTTAAACTGTGTAATGCTTTAAAAATGCGTTCCCGCAATCGTTGCAAAAATTCGAACCTGGTTCTACTTCGTGCAATGGTTGTTGCAACAATAAGATTGCGAGACATGATACATCTTGTAATGGACGACTTGCGCTTTAGACTAAATTTAAATCTAAGTAAGAACAACGAAATCTATCACCACAGCTGGAAAGAGCGTCTTGAAATTAGTAATATTACAAAGTTTGGTTGCGAAATGTTGTAAAATACGGAAAATATAGCCCTTCAAAGTTGGAAAATTTGTATACTTTTGTATTACGTGCGTGAATTGGTAACTAAATTAGTTACCAATCTCCGCACGTAATAGAAATGTATACAAATTTGCCAACTTCGCAGGGCTATATTTTCCGTATTTTACAACATTTCGCAACCAAACTTTGCAGTTTTTCTAATTTTGATAACTTCTTTCAGAAAATATCCTTTGTTATTCCCAGATTATAAATTTTTCTAAAGCGTAAGTCGTCCATTTCGCGTGCAACTTATGTCGCAACAAAATTGCGAGACAAATAGTGTAACATTCATTTTAGTGTTTGATTCCACCTCAGAGAGTAAAGAGTCAAATAAAATCAAAAGTACCAGCTGACAAGCAGCAGGCATGATGGTCTAGTGGTCTCGGCTAAGTGTCGCATGTGGATTAAGCCAGGTTCGTTTCCTGCCCTGACGAGGATCTTTTGGCCTTTGTCAGGGGTACGAATTAATTATAGGGTGGAGAAAAAGGATTAGCTATGATAGAAAACATTAAGCTTTCACCAATAGACCTAGTAGTCTAGAGGTACCACTCGAAGCCTACGGGTGCTATGGTGGAAGGATCGAGTCCGGGTAAGACCGGCTGAGACTTCGTGCTCAGGTAATCGATCTGACCGGCCGTATGCGGAGTGGGACAAAATTCGGGGGTTCTCTTTCCCCGAAACTTCTGAGGAAAAACACTGGCGTATCTTGCTCAAAGCGTCAAGGAAAAAGACTTAGTAAAATTTTTCCTCTCCATGTCCCGGCCCCCTCCCCGGGGGCCCTCGCCCTTCTCCTCCCTTCCCACCGCACGCTGTCATATTCTAAGTCTACCGCGCATGCGCCACACCATGGTGACTACTAAAGATTAATTTGATTGGTAGAATCTTCTCCAAACTTTTTCCCGGCCGCCATTTTCTTTAGTATTCTTCTTTCGTCCACCACCTTTTTTCTTTTATTATTCTTTCATTCATCCTCGAACCGATCCTGATACACGACATTGGCTTTTATAGGCCGATATCGCTACCACTAGACCACTTGCTCGCTGTTGGAAGCCTACCCCAACTTATTCACCTTAACCTTTTTTCTCTAGCTTGTGTAATTAATATTCGACACATTTCAAGTCACAAAATGATTTTTCTAGGACTTGAACCACAATGGTACATTACACAGCCTGTAGTCTTTACTACAAGACCATTTGCTCGTTGTTGGAACCTAGAGCTACTTATTCACCTTAGCCGTTTTTCTCTAGCTTGTGCAATTAATATTGTTCACATTTCAAGTCACAAAATGATTTTTGTTCGACTTGAACCACAATAGTTCATTACACAGACGGTAGTCATTACCACTAGACCACTTGCTTGTTGTTGGGAACCTACCGCAACTTATTGACCTTAACCTTTTTTCTCTAGTTTGTGCAATTAATATTCGACACATTTCAAGTCACAAAAGGATTTTTCTAGTATTTGAACCACAATGGTACATCACACAGCCTGTAGTCATTACCACTAGACCACTTGTTCGTTGTTGGAAACGTACCGCAATTTATTCACATAACCTTTTTATATAGTTTGCATTCGACACATTTCAGGTCACAAAATTATTTTTGTAGGACTTGAACCACAATGGTACATGACACGGCCTGTAGTCGTTACCACTAGACCACTTGCACGTTGTTGGAAACCGGACCTACAGCTACTTATTTACCTTAACGGTTTTCTCTAGCTTGTGCAAATTAATATTCGACACATTACAAGTCACAAAATGATTTTTGTAGGACTTGAACCACAATGGTATAGTATATTACAGAGCGTGTAGTCTTTACCACTAGACCACTTGCACGTTGTTGTAATCCAAGCGCAACTTACTCACTTTAGCCTTTTTTCTCTAGTTTGTGCAATTAATATTTTTCACATTTCAAGTCACGATTTTTGTTGGACTTGAACCACAATTGTTCATTACACAGACGGCAGTCATTACCACTAGACCACTTGCTCGTTGTTCGAAACCTACCGCAACTTATTCAGCTTAACCGTTTTTCGCTAGCTTAATATTCGACACCTGATTTCAAGACACAAAACGATATTTGTCAGACTTGAACCACAATGGTACATTACACAGCCTGTAATCTATACCACTGGACCACTTACTCGTTGTTGGAAACCTACCGCAACTTATTCACCTTAACCGTTTTTCTCTAGCTTAGTTCGACACCTGATTTCAAGTCACAAAATGATTTTTGTTGGACTTGAACCACAACAGTTCATTGCACAGACGGTAGTCATTACCACTAGACCAATTGATCGTTGTTGGAAACCGACAACTACTTATTCATCTTAACCGTTATTTGTAGCTTGCGCAATTAATATTCGCCAGATTTAAAGTCACAAAATGATTTTGTAGGACTTGAACCACAATGGTACAATATATTACACAGTGTGTAGTCTTTACCACTAGACCACTTGCTCGTTGTTGTAAACCAAGCGCAACTTACTCACTTTATCCTTTTTTCTCTAGTTTGTGCAATTAATATTTTTCACATTTCAAGTCACAAAATGATTTTTGTTGGACTTGAACCACAATAGTTCATTACACAGACGGTAGTCATTACCACTAGACCACTTGCTCGTTGTTGGAAACCGACAACTACTTATTCACCTTAACCGTTTTTTTGAAGCTTGTGCAATTAATATTCGCTAGATTTCAAGTCACAAAATGATTTTTGTTGGACTTGAACCACAATTGTTCATTACACACACGGTAGTCATTACCACTAGACCACTTGCTCGTTGTTGGAAACCGACAACTACTTATTCACCTTAACCGTTTTTTTGTAGCTTGTGCAATTAATATTCGCTAGATTTCAAGTCACAAAATGATTTTTGTAAGACTTAAACCACAATGGTACATTACACAACCTGTACTCTTTACCACTAGACGACGTACTCCTTGTTGGAAACCTATCGTTACTTATTCACCTTAACCGTTTTTCTCTAGTTTGTGCAATTATTAATAGTCCCCCCATTTCAAGTCACATAATGATTTTTGTAGTACTTGAACCACAATGATACATTACACAGCGTGTAGTCTTTACCGCCAGACCATTTGCTCGTAGTTGTAAACCAAGTACAACTTATTCACCTTAACCGTTTTTCTCTAGCTTGTACAATTAATATTCGACACATTTCAAGTCACAAAATGATTTTTGTGGACGGTAGTCACTACCACCAGATCACTTGCTCGTTGTTGGAAACCTACTGCAACTTTTTTCACCTTAACCTATTTCTCTAGCTTGTGTAATTAATATTCGACACATTTCAAGTCAGAAAATGATTTTTGTAGGACTTGAACCACAATGGTCCATTACCCCCCCCCCCAATGGTCCATTACCCCCCCCCCCC